TCATTTTAAGAAAATGCCCCCAGATTTTACTCCCTTTTTTAAAACTTTCAGAAATATTTTTTATTTTTCTTTCGCTTACACAGATTCAATCTTTTAAGTAAAGTTCTGCTCTTTTCAGATTAGGTCATTAAGACACCTCAACCTAGGTTGGACATCACAAAAAAACAGAAATATTTTTTGACAATTTTTCATTGCTGACATTATCAATAATATTGAAAAACTGTTTCAGCCTTCATTTTGACCAGAAGTATTCAGAATTGTTAGATCATGTGACTGGCTTGATTTGAAGAAACATCTGCAGAAACTAAATATCTGACTGGCCAGGATCCTCACAACAAAACAAAACAAAAAAAAAAGATCTGGCAAATATGATTTGTTACAGGGCTCATCTGAATACTGCAATATCAACAGATTTCCTTGGGAAAATAATTAACAAATATATTGTGCTGCCCATCACTGACAAATCATGCTTTGAGACATACTGTCCTGTCCTACTGACTGGGGATGTTCTGCTAATGATTCACAGTAGCTTCAAAGGTTCTTTATTAAAGTAATGAACATGGGGTCAGTGGGTCAGTATTGCACTCAATATTGCAACATATTGCCTTGCAATGGAAGAAGCAGCACCACAAATGAATCTCTAGTCCTAAAATAGTTGGCTGCAAAAGGACAAACAGAAAAGTGCCCCTCTATTTGAGCAGCTAAGAGCAGAACATGGTGCAATAAGGCCTAAAAAGCATTATATAACATAGTTACAGGAAGAGCTCAACTAAAGGGCACTAGTAAGTAATGGGACACTGCTTCTGGCTAGTGTACACTCATCCCGACTCCATTTGGGACATGACCGATGACCCACTTTCATTAGAGTTCTGTGGATTCCCACACCCACTCAGCTGCTGTAATATGACCTTCCTGAACTGCAGGATGATAGAGGGCAAAAGGGCCAGTGTTCATACTGACTGCTCCAGGACGAGCAGTAATAGTGTACATTAATAACATTCAGAAAGACCAGATAAGCTGTTTCATAAAGCAGGACTGCTCAGTTAGCTAGATAATTTAAGACATATGTTGATGGTTGTCCAATAAAAATACACCTTAGCTCTGATTCTACTGGACAAGACCTGACTTTTAGGTTAAACAGGAATTTCACCCATTTATTTTTCAAATTTCTGCACAAATCAGTTGTTATAGTGTAAGCAAAGTCGCCGTCTAACGGAGCAGTGGTGACAGGAACCAGATATCAGAAGCATTTACTGCCTTAAGTGTGGCCTGCAGACCAAAGTTGGCCCATGAGGATGTTTGATTTGGCCTGCAAGAAAGATTGTTTTTTGCTATATATAATTCATTAATTCAGATTTTATGTTTAAGTTTATATTTTTTAAGCATTATAGTAACTAAATACACTGTTTAAAATGTTTTAACATTTTAAAGAATTTAAAGCCAACCACCCTCTTTTTTTAGTATACGTATGTTGTGTGTTTTTGGCCCTCGGCCCACCAAAAACACTGCATTTAGGCCCCCAGGTTTGGGCACATCTGCTCTAAAAGCTACATGTTGTTTTACGACAGCTTTGTTTTTTGGCCTAAAGCATTTTTAATTTACATGCCGTACAGAAAGGTACATGGACAGCATTGTAAGGCAAAAGAAAATGTTTTTTTTCCCCTTTTTTATATTTTTAACATTACATATAAGAACCCAAAAGACTCATGTAGGTTCCCTGGGTATTTTGGACAGCAAATAACATGGATATATTTGTACCGAAGACATCATGACCCCTGGTTCCTATCACCACCACTGTAAAGAAATCGGAGACAATGAAGTTTCTCTACAATGTATGGATTCACATCAAACCAATCTGAATTACTTTGTTCACACCTTAGTGATTGAATTACGCAGAATTTTTTTTTAAATATCTGTGAACGTCCACTTTAAGTCATTTGGGGAAACTGGGAAAAATTCATGCTTTGTGAAATAACCCTCAGGAACGGCTGTGTAAAGTGGGGTGCGAAAACCTTTATTTGTGTATTTTGTCTCCACCAGGCCAGAACGTGGCTCACAGTTAAGGGGGAATTCCACCAATTTTTATTATTTATTTATTTTTAATATGTAATGTTGATAATGGTAAAATAGTGGTTTTAATATAGTTTTCTTTATGGACTATTTTGCCTTTGAACACCCTTCATGTATCCTTTCTCCACAAACGGATTAAAACAAGTAATAAAATAAATTGCTTTAGGCTAAAACTTCAGCATAAAAATCATAAAATAAGACATCAGGCTGAAGATTCACAGCAATTTCATATAATAACTTTCTGTGAGGTTTGCTTTTCTGTGAAGCTTTTAGAGGTGGACGTCTGGTTCCTATCACCACCACTGTGAACGATTCTGACTCCAAGCTTCTCTAGAAGGGAGCATTTCACACCAAACCACGACTGTGTTAATATCTTAACCACTGAATTACGCAGGAGGTTAGAAAAATCGGTGGAAATCCCCTTCAACGAGGCTGAAACAGCAGCACACTGTGGCCCACGTTTCTGAATGAAAACCCATAATGTGCAGCTACATGTGCGCCATGCAGCCAGACAAACCCTCTCCGTCCATTTTACCGCCTTTTTCTCTTCCGTATACACAGAGCAGCGTCTGGAGGGCTTGTTTAGTTTTTGGCTGGATTATTCACTACCAAGTATGAGGCACTAAAACGTGGGGCTAAAAGGCAGAAATATAACCTAACGGCTTCAGATCAGTTAATATATGAGGAACGAGGACAGACATTTGGCGGACTGTAGCTGTTTATCACTTTACAAACCCCTTTTCTCCTGAAAAACAACAGGGCTGGTGTTAGCATTAGCAGCTCCCGAGTTGTCGTACGGAAAGCTTTATTTTGTACATTTTAACACATATAAACATTGAACTTTAAAGTCCTGCGAAACATCAAATCGTACACAAAACCAGATCTGAGTCTTAGCACTGAGATTTCGCATGTACTGTAGGTTAGGTTATCTGAGGCGAAGCCCCTTATTCGAATTGCCCCGTTCCACCTTAAATGGTGCAGTTTCGGGAGCCAGAATGTAGCGTTAACTGACGCAGGATTTAAGGTGGAAAGCGGTAATTCGAGCAAGAAGCCGGAGAATATGAAGCCTATTTCAGCCTCGCGTATCTGAACTAGGTAAGATAACCTAGCTAACTTGCTATTTTGGCTAGCGAGCTAACGCCGTGGGCTACCGCGCTCACGAAAATCTCCCCACCCCAAAAAAACGGCGCCGTTACGCCGTTTTAGCTCCGCCGCTAACGCTAGCTATTCTAAACACGCCGTCGTTTGCTATAAATGTGCAGCAGCCCACTCTCCCTTTCCTCCTCCGACTCGGTCTGACTCATTGTCTGGAAGCGAGTCCCAGCTTCGGCTGTGAAACATGCCCACCGCCGCCATGATCTCTTTGTTAGAAACGAATCGGCCACTGCAGCGTTAAAAACAAACCGCACGGAGAAACTACAGCCGCTTATCGCGCTCAGCCGAGCCTCTCGCTCCCTTCCTTACCCGACACGGACTCTCCCCGTCACTCGCAGGCCTTCGGAGCTCCACTTTTATTCGGTCCGACACGTAAGAGACCGCGTCAGGCTACACCTCCGTCGCGTCACCGAGGACAACAACGCCAGAGAGAGACGAGGGGGACGAAAAAAAATATCCACCCTCTCTCGGATTCAGCGCCGCTTCTGCCACGGAACGAGTCGAACACCGCACGAAGAAGCACGAAGCCGGGCGGGCGGAGCCGAACAAACAAAACTCAGAAGAACGAACCGATTCAATTTGTTAGTGTTGTTGTTGTTGTTCACTAAATTATTCGAACCGATTCCCAAGTCCAAACTGAATCATACTTTTTTATAGCGTACTCCAAAGTTTTTGCGTCAAAGTGCAAAGTTTTTAGGACAAAAAAGAGCTGTAAAATGTATTTTATAACACTATTTTATATAAACTATATTTGTATTTTATTGACAAAGTATAATGTAAATAACATTTCTTTACCCTATATTTTGTTACTATAACACAAATAAAAATACAATTTAAAAGGAAATTAAGAGAAAAGTCTTATATAGTATAAAAATATATCATTCTTATTGATTGAGGCGATGGGGTTTCTGGTGGGCCAAATCAAGCATCCTTGCCCTCTATAGACCAGGGGTCTCAAACTCAGATTACTTTAGGGCCTTTAGTCACGTGGTCTTCTCCGAAGGAACGGCCTGCTGAATATGATATAAAGTCGTTTAAAAACATCTTAATCTTTCTTAAAAGACAGTTGTCCAGTACCAGCTAACATTTGTCATCAATGCTAGTGCATTAAGACTTTTTGTACAGCTAATAAGTTAAAGACAAAGCCAGAATGCAAAATATGAAATATTGATGTGCGGGTCGTATTTAAGTATACATTTTAAACATGCAGGGTGGTGAGATGAGAATGAAGTTGCCTCAGTGAATTATTAAATCGGAGTATCGATTCGTTGGAACGTACAGTCCGAAAGAATCGATTCGGTAAACTGAATCACCGCGAGGGGCAGGGCGTGGAAAGTCCCAACGTGATTGGATAACAGCTGACTTGGCTTTGACACAAGTACAGTCATATGACAGTGACGACTGTCGATGTAGTTACCTGGCGTATTACTCAGAGTACCTGCTTGCGTACCTGTTAAGGTCCAGAGTGAAAAGTTATAATTTGACCTTTTTTTTTATTTCCCTCGCACAGCGCATGCGTGGAATGTCTGGACGTGATTGGACAAATAACGAACCAAAAATATAATTAATCTAAAGTTTCATCGTTTTCGGTTCGTGTCTTTTAAAATATAAACGTCTTTATGTGTTACTAAAAATTGTATATATCTATCCCCGGCACGAATGTAAAAAGCTTTCTGTATCTTCGTCTAAGAATAGGAGCGACGGTTTTGATTGGACTCCTCCGAAACGTGACACAAATTTGCACCAATCAGAGATGCGCGTTCACTTAGCTACTGATTTGACCCGCCTACTAAAGAAGAACCAGGAAATACACATGACATTTTTGTTAGGCGGTGGAGAGAAAGTCTTCTGGAAACATTTTATTTAATTTTTTTGTTGTAGCACTCGACTGTTTTTCTTACCATGGCTTCGCTGTTCAAGAAGAAGACGGTAGATGGTAAGTTTCCTCAAGAAGACGGTGACTTTTGATGGTATCGTTAATGGTAGGCAAAAAACAAACAAGCATCTCACGTCAGTCACCGACTAGCTTAGCTTCAGTAGCTTCAGTAAGCTGACATCAGCGACGTTGATGGACAGCATTGACTTAATTAAGCTTTAATGTGATCTATTAAAGTCACAGATGTGTGACGAAGGTTCGGTGTTAGACATCTGGACCCGGTGGTGAATTGGGTCTAACTGCTCTTCACGTTTTTGGTGTGTTTAGTTAACGACACATCGAAAAAAAGATAGTTCTTCAAGGGTTCTTTAGAAAAAATGAAACATTTTCAAGCTTAAAATGTTCCTGAAACGTTTCTTCAGATTGATGGAGAATGTGTTATAATATATATGGTTCTGTACAGAACCTTTTTGAAAACGCTCCTATGCCAAAAGGGGTTCTTCTGTTGTTACAAGCTTGACAATAGCAGAACGCTTTTTGGTGCTGTATGGAACCATTTCCAAAAAGCTTCTATAAGGGAACCATATACAACACATTCTCCATCGATCTGAAGAACCATTTCACCATGCAGAGAACCATTTAAGGTTACACATGGTTCTTTGAGTGTTCGTGGTTCTATGTAGAACCATTGTCTTCACTAAAGAACCCTTGAAAAACCATCTTTTTCAAGAGTGTAGAGCAAAGCAACCGGATGAAAGAGAAGTTCAGTCGATGTAAACCGGTTAACTCAGAATGGTTTGAAACTTAACAACTCAGATTTTCTTTACAGGAAGATAGGAACCAGGGGCTGAGTTATCTAGAACACTAATATAGACATTTTATTTACTCCCCAAAACGACTAGTGACCTACATGTGTCTTCTGAGTTTTATATGTAGTGCTTATTGTGGTAAAATTGTGGTAAAGCTGAAACAAGTTTTCTCTGATGAGTATTGCCTTACAACACCTTCCATGTACCTCTACAACCATAAATGTGTTACAGTCTAGGCCAGTACCTTCTCAAACTATTGTAAAACACAGTCTCAGGTGTCAGACAGCATATGTATAACTGTTTTATGTAACTTTCACTGGGATAGCTTTTAGAAGCATTAAACATTTTGGATGTCTGGTCACCACCACGGTGAACAATAATCTCTAGAACGCAGCATTTCGCACCAAACCATTCTGAATGATTTTGTTTACATCTAAACGGTTGAATGATTAAGTAATTTTGAAAAATTGGTGGAGTTTCCCTTTAACCAGTTAATTATGTGGACATTTGGAAAAATCAGTGGAATTCCCTTTTAAGACATCACACTTTTTATTATAAGTTTTCTTTTTCTAATTTTCAGATGTCATTAAAGAGCAGAACAAAGAGTTGAGGGGAACTCAGAGACAGATCACGCGAGACCGAGCGGCACTGGAGAAACAGGAAAAGCAGCTGGTAAGAGAGAGAAAGAGACACACCTCTCCACAGAAAGCAAATCACACTCACTATCTCTGATTCAATCTCAAGTGACTCCCTACTCCATTTGTAGGTTATGCAGTGATGGTGTCTATACGTCAGTAATGCATAATACACTTTATATCAGAAAGTTTCCAGATAATCCTTCTAATAAGTGAATTCAGGTACTTTAAGGAGCATCTGTTGCTGAAATGGGTGTTCATTTGTGTACTCACAACTTGTAAAATCTCAATAGAAATGCTCTGGAGCAGCTGCACATGAGGTCCAGTGTCAATGTCCAATGCCAACCATCAGCAAGAAGGGTTTTGGGCTGTAGAGCAGGGGAACAGTGTTCTCTTGAGTAAGGCTCCAGCCAATACCTTTGAGATCAGTTGAAGGCGTGTTTGTGATCCAGAACTAATCATCCCACATCACTACCCAGCCTCACTAATGCTCTTGTGGCTGAATGTAATCAAATCCTCGCATCAGTGTTCCAACATGTAGTGTAAAGTCTTCCCAGAAGAGTAGAGACTGATACTGCAGCAAAGGGGAACAAACTCCATCTTGATTTACTCTTGATTTTAGAAGAATGGATGAACAAGTGTCTTCAAACTTTTGGACATTTAGTGGATGTATAACAGAGAGCCATTTGGGATTCAGTCATAGGCTGTACATCTTCCCACCGCACTATTTGGGTGTGGAAGTCATAGTTCAATGACCTGTGTAGCGTACTATTTAGGAAGTAGAGAGCCATTTGAGCCTTAGTCTCAGATAGTTCCCATATAATGTAGTACAATAAGTAAAAAAGAATGGTTACTAGACCCAAATAGTGCACTACAATGGAATAGACAGTGCAATACTCAGACCTAGATCTAGAGCACTCTGTCCTGCACATTTTAGGTGTCCCTACTTCAGCACACTCAATTCAACTCATTGTCATGTTAATTCTTAATTATGGGACATTCAGACAGTCCTTATCAGCTCAAAAATTGTTTGTCACTTTTTCTAATCATAATTACCAATTGTTTGTGTAGGGATGATCACTGACTTCACTACAGGCATGATTAATCGTTTAACTCTTTACGCACATTATAGTGTGGAAATTGAAGTGCCACTGATATACAGGACTGTGTAAAAGTCTTAATCACTTGAGAAATTATGTTTTTACGTTTAAAAAGTGTCTGAAAACACAAACATTAGAGTAAATAAAACGATATTAATACAATAAGTAAATAAAACCAATACAGTACAACATAAAAAGTAAACAGTGCCTGTAAACACATATGATGAAGCTAGTTAGAAAAACAAGGGTTTGGTTCCGGTCTTCACCTCGATGCCCATCCGCAAATTGTTCAAATACATCACCAGAGCACTTTACTTAATTTAATGAAGCTTAGCCAAGCCGAGTATTAGATGATAATTACAAATAAAGGTGGGCTGCGACAAGAAGAGGTTTGGAAAGGGACAAAAAGGAGCACTGACATACATAAAAGCACTTATTGTATTAATCTTATTTGTGTTTATTGTAATATTGATGTTTCCTGAAAAAAAAAAAATTAAATGAAATAATTAATGTAATTTTCTTTAATGCCTCAAACGTTTGCCCAGGTGAATGATACAGGAAGCCCAGTATCATTTTGTATTATCATCCAGTACCATGTTTGGCTAATCAGTACTTCATTAAATTAGAACAAAACCTGTGTTCTTATAACTAGCTTATAAGATATCAACTCCTTTTTTTCAAAACAAAAAAATCTTGTTACTTTTTAACTATGTTAAGCTTTGTGTGCATTTATACTAACGTTGTGTTTTAACTGGAAAAACACGCGTGTTGTTCAGATAAAAGGTTTTGCATGATTTGCCTCACTGCCTTGGACTTTTGCACAGTACTTATATTTACCAGTGGTGCATTGTTTGACATAATGGTCTGCTGAATTAACCTAGTACCTGAGAATGTACTGTCTGGTGATGAATCACAACTTGTAAACTTAGGTAAAAAGGAACTTGTGTCAGTTTGCTGTTCTTGTATTTAGGATGTTCTCAGCCATTCTAGAGCAAATCCCTTGTGGTAAACTTGGAAATGTATAACTGGTTGAACGCACCATTAGCTGATTAGTGGGTTTGGATGCGTCAGAGTGGGGAAATGCTAAAATATGCAGGACCAGGTTTGGGAAGGGCTAATGGTTTTAGGGCGCCATCTGGGATTAGGCCACTTTCACACTGATTTAGAACCAGGCTTCCAGAGCAAATCTTCCAATTTGTCTGTAATAATCACCCTTAAAACTTACACACACAGAAAAATGTTTACTTATCAGTCTCACTTCTGAGTAGATATCTCCTGGTTTTATGATGTCTTACAAGTACGTCATGGTAGAGAACCGGTTGTACATTAGTCTATAAATGTACAATGTCATTGTAGCACAACCTGATAAAGAACTATGTCTGACCTCATGATTCTATTCTTAGCAGTCATTTATGCCACAGCTTATCAGCTAAAGCAAATCCAGTTGTAGATATAGGCAGTGTTCTCAGTGCTCTAGCTTCTCCCACATATGAAATTAGTTATTGATTCTACTGAACCTCTATGATAAACTCTTCTCTATATATCGTCACTGTCACATCAACATTTCATCTTAAATTGTTTACTCCTTTTGAAACCAGAAGCTGCCTTTACATTGTGTGAACATTTCATGATAAATGCTCCAATATAAGCCGACAAAAATTAGTTGAAATAAAGTTTTGTTCCATTAAAGATAATGAGGCACCAATCCAATAAACTGCAGTGGTATCGACACAGATATTGATCTTACTAAACAGATCAGGTATTAATCAGTTCTGACAGGTCCACTTTTGATACTGTTTTTTCACAGTCCTGAAAAAAATGTTTACTCCAATATGGTACATTGGCCTCTGCTATATATTCTATATTCTCTGCTATGTATTTGCTTCTGTTTATTTGCATAGGGTTATGATCAAAACTCTGGATTCATAGTACAGTTTGCTATCTCCAAAATATATTTCTTAGCAGATCTTTACGTTTTGAAAGCTTTACTTGCATCAGTTAGAGAAATAATTGTTGCCTACTTCGTAGTTAGTATTGGAACAAGTCGCAATACAGAGTCTAACCTACTGTATATGATGTAACAGTAACACTTTAAGTGTACATGAAATTCTGTTAATTCACTCATTATGTATGTGTGGGGAATCATTAATTCATACATATAATGTCTCTTAATGCAGCAGCTGTATACTAATTGATGTAATAACTAAGGTACCAGTATCCGGTGTTGGGAGGATTATGTGGTACAAAGTAATACACTACAGTAAAGTGATTTACCTTTTCATATAACTAAGTAATGTGAGGTAAGTTCTTGTAATTACATCACAACTACTGACTCTGACTGTGAATATGAGCAGCACAGTGCGAGCAAGGGAAGCACTGTAAACTAGACGATCTGTCAACGCATCTTATCACACTATGACACTGATGGATAAAGAGAGCATACCCTACTTAAATTACTTAAATTCATAAACAGCTCTGTAAGTTTATTCATAACTGTTTTGTTTTGGGGCAGCAGTTTTTACTGGTTAGTGTCTTGGTATTCAAACAGCACCAGTCAAATTGATCATTTTAATCAGCATAACCAGCTGTGTCTTGTTTGAAGGAAGAAATACTGACATGCCTTTTAAATGATTTTTACTGTGATTGACTATTTCTTTTTAAATAAATGACTGTGAAGGACTATTGGGTATTCCTTTGTACACTTGGTACAAGTGGCTTTTACAGGAATAAGTGATGAGATTACTTTTTCCAGTAATGGGCAACATAATCCCATTACAGTTTGAGGGCAGTAATTAGTAACTTGTAATGAATTACTTCTTTTTTCAGTAACTACCCCAACACTGCCAGTATCATCGGATCGGTTTACAAGAATTATTACTGATGCTCAAACAGGTCTTCATGCTAGTCAATACTTCATTTGGTGAAAAGACTGAATGCTGAGCCACCTCTTCATAAAACTAGAGTATTTAGTTGGTTCTTTGCACAGTGAAATTGATGGAGAATGTGTGGTATATGGTTCTATATAGAACCTTTTTGAAAATGGTTCTACATAGCGCCAAAAAGTGTTCCTCTATTGTTTCAAGCTTAACATCATAGCAATAGAAGAACCTTTTTTGGTGGGATCTGAAGAGTACCTTTACATAGAATATAGTCGTATGAAAGAGTTTGGTTGCTCCCGTTCAAATGACATGTTTTGTTTATTTTCTAAGTGAAAATAAATAAACACATCCTCCACAGGGACACATTTTCTTTGTGGAATTTAACATGGAAAATCAAACATAAAATGTGGCGTGTGCAAAAATGATGGCACATTTTAGATTTTATGTTTTATCTTTTTTCCCCAGTGTGTTAAACTCGTATATCAAATAAATAGAAATTGTGTAATTTTCAAGCTTGTTGGATGTGTTTGTAAGTATGTGTTAACTTAAGTGTTAACATAGTTTTCAAATTTTTGCATACAACCATGCATTAAATAAACATTGAGCAGACTGGAGCAAATAAATTTGGGTGTTAGCTAAGTGCTAATGTATGTTTTCATTCTTGTTTAAAGTTAACATTTTAGACAGTTTTGTTATGACAGTGATCATGATGGTTTCTTTAACTTTTATTCATTTATTTCTCAATGTCCCCACAGGAGTTGGAGATAAAGAAGATGGCCAAGACAGGTAATAAGGAGGCCTGTAAAATCCTGGCCAAACAGCTGGTGCAGCTGAGGAAACAGAAGACCCGAACATACGCCGTCAGCTCTAAAGTTACCTCCATGTCCACCCAGACCAAACTCATGCACTCTCAGATGAAGATGGCAGGGGCCATGAGCACCACCACTAAAGTAAGACAACTAAAGGTTGACTTCTATTCAACTTGCTGATGTGACTTTATTTCAAGTCTACTCAGTACCAGTCCATCGAGTTAATATGAAGAGCATTGTTGTTTGTAACCACTGTAGGTCTGTGCCTGATACTATGCACTACTCTTTATATAGTGCTCGCTGTTTAGTGGTGTCTGAAAACAGTGGTGAATGATGAGCAAACCTGTGTAATGTTGTTATTGTATGTAATTGTTTACTTGAATCACAAATCTGTTCCCTGTAATAGAGTTCTTCCCTATAATAGAGTTCCATATAATGTTCCTGATTTTTCCCAGTGCAAGGAATAGTGATTAGGGGGCCATTTTAAACACGGCGCTAGCAATAGTTTGTTGGATTGTTTGTTACAGTGGCTATAATGGAAGCTATCATTTGAGACTATAATGTAATCTTGCGGATGTTCCATTATAATAGACGCTCAAGCATGACTCATTTGTGTGAGAGTAACGCTTGTGCCTGCTGAATGGGTGTATTCATCCTTTGTGTGTCTTTCTGTAGACGATGCAGGCAGTCAATAAGAAGATGGATCCTCAGAAAACTTTGCAGACCATGCAGAACTTTCAGAAGGAGACAGCCAAGATGGAGATGACTGAAGAAATGAGTAAGCTTGTCCCTATTTTGATGCTCCTAAATAAAAGGAGAGGGAGAGGGAGAGAGGGAGAGAGAGGGAGAGAAATTAGACAAGTGCTGTTGTGATTAAAATTGTTTAAAAGCATATTGGTTAAAATTTGCACAATTTACAATTTATATTTATATGTATTTTTTACCACATACTGTTTATAAATGTTTATAGTAAATATTTTTAAAGGCTTTATCTTCCCTTGATGTATTTTGCAGTCTTTCGAAAGCAGTGCTTGTTTTTTTTATTGCTTGGTTAAGACTTTTAAAGCAGGGTTTCTGTGAATTCTTAAAGTCTTATAAAGTCTGAAAAACTTTACTCACAACTTGAAGCAGTGAGCAGCATTTTCCAAAGGTTTTAGTGTCTGCAGTATTGAATTGTTTTAAAGAGAAAGCTTAATATCTGCAGCTCCAGTGTGTCCACTGTGTTTAAACGAGCTGCCTGAAAGATAGGCATGTAAAATGTGAGCGTGTGGTTAGAGACTGCTTTTTGCCACTCCCCACGAGCAACATACCACCAAAACCATGATGGTTTTAACCTGCGAATAATGACCAGTTGAAAACAAAAATATTGCGGAAACGTTATACCTTACTAGCCACGTGCGTCATTTCTGGTTTCAGATTGATGTTAGCAGAAACGTTAGTGCATTCAAAAGCGAGAGAAAGGAGCAGCTATCTTGCTATGTTAAAGCAGTATGAAATCGTAGCATATTCATGACCCTATGAAATGGCAGAGTAGCATAATCTTACCTAAACTGTGCAGCTACATTATTTGTGAAAACACAAATAGAGAATCAGACTCGATTTTTGTTGATACACAACATCAAAGGGCTAGGTAGGATCAGGTTGGGGGCAAAAGCAGAACTTACCAGGACATTCCTGATTGAACTATAAGATGATGCCTAAATACCACCTCAAAATTTGAGTCATCTTGTATATGAAACTAATCCAGAATAGTCTGCCAAACAAAATATTCAGCCAGCGGCCGTCTTGTGGTCTAAACTAATCACTAGGGAAGGACTAGAAGACAACAGAACTGATTAAGCCTGAGAAGACTGTGTAAGGGTCATGCAATTTCAGAGCATATATTTTAGGCTATTTTTTAACCAATAGCCTAAAAAAAAGTTAAGTTAAAAGTAAAAAGTTATTTAATACATGCCATTTTTGACTGTGTGTATGGCTATGTGGAGGAAGTGCTATTATTTTTGTAATGTTAAGGTTTAAGAATCTTTGAATTTGATTTAAGAAACTTTTTCTGAACTCAGTTATCCCTTAGAATGAAACTGGCTGTTTTTTGTTATCGTGCCTTTAGGACTGGTATATGTAAATGGCCTCTGTTCTAAATGTCTGCCCTGCTTTGTGCTTTATTACAAAAGCAGTCCAAACTGAAACACTCCTTATAACTTCAGTGTGAGTGAGCAGAGCTAAACTGCTGTGGATATATGTAAATAAATTGGAACACTGACTTCAAAACAGGCTTGTTTTGCAGTGCGCTTTTCGCGTATGGACTGTAAGGAATGGAGAGTGAATGTTACATTTTTAAACTTTAGATAAGTTTATATACTACATCAAACGTCTTTATTGAAACCAACAAGAAATTTGGCAATTCAGTTTTCCATGATATGGCCAGTGATTTCATGATATCTCCTCTTCCGTTCAAAGTTAATGACACACTGGACGAGATCTTTGAGGACTCTGGCGATGAGGAAGAATCTCAGGACATTGTGAACCAGGTGCTGGATGAGATCGGCATTGAAATCTCAGGAAAGGTGAGAGTGACAAGCTTATCAGAAAAGAACTACTACTTGAAGTATTTCTCTCACTTCTCAGGCGGATGTTTTTATGCCATTTAGCAAGACGGATTTATTTATTCATCTATCATCAGAAAGACATCCAACAGCATTGCAGCAAACCCATTTACACCTCTCTTTATTTATAATGGCACTGATGCATTTGCCATTAGTGTATGGCAGTAAAAGCATCTTGATAACATAATTTCCTGGAACACTGTGTACGTCATGTAAACCGAACATAGTTTTTCCTTTAATCCTCTGATAGACATCATAGACATGATAGACTTCCATAGACATTCAGAGATTTTAGGGTCCTTTCCAATGCCTTGAGTGGCTTCTTCTCATGTTCTTTTTGCGTCCCGTTACATTTTGAGCTGTAATGGTCGACCCATGTCCTCCTGTTTCCTCGGCAGATGGCCCACGCTCCTTCAGCCAGCAGAAACAACCCCACCGCCTCCACCTCCAAAGCAGATGGGATATCAGATGAGGAGATAGAGAGACAGCTAAGAGCTCTCGGAGTGGACTAATTCTCATACACGCAGACGCACGCATCTCCATATTGCCTGGCGACAAACATGCAGTGCTACATCCTCAAGTACACGGAGCACACACTACTGGACACTTGACGTTTGCAGTCACATACACACGCCTACTCGGGGATAAAATGCCACTGCAGGCAAAGTTAATCCCATTTTCATTTTCACAGAGGGCTCCTCATGACATTTTTTGGTTAAAAATGAAAAAAAATGACCCTTTTTTTTAGTAATGCGGCTAAAATATACTGTTCTATGCAAAAGTTAGAGGCCGTCATCCTTCATTTATTCAGTTTTCAGTTGAAATGGCCATTTAGTAAAAGTTGTTCAGTTTTCAGCATCAGGAAAAAAAAAGAAAACATCAGCAGGGATATTTTTCCCCTCTTCCGAAGTTCGGTTTTAGAGGTTGGTTGCATTTTCTGCTCATCACAATAGAAGTAATCCAAAACCCAATCCTTTCAGACTAATAATATTGAGTGGTCTTTTCACAGTGTAAGGAAAGACAGACACATCAGGTCTTGCATTATTGTTTGGAGTCTCATTATATCTTTTAATCATTTTTTGCAAGATTTGGAAACTCCTGTTTTTTTCACTTATTTTCCTGTGACTTTCCCCTTTCTTATACAATGCAAGTGTATTATTTTGTGTCTCATCAGAAATAACTCCTGAAAAATGAACAACTTATTCTGAAAGGCCTTTTTAACTGGAAATGACATAAACAAAGGGTGGTCTATGACTTTTGCACAGTACTGTATACTTTTAAATGCATGCTCACCTATCTCGTCTTTTATGTATTGTTATGGGAAAATGAAAAGTCAGCATGAAATTATTGAATATTGTCGCTGTTGTAACAAAACCTCTTATCTCAAATGGTACCTCTACAGGAGAAGGAATAGTGTTCTTTACTTGAATGTACTATAACGTCAAAATTTGAATTGGACCATTTCTGTTGGTCCGTTTATCATGAAATGTCCATACAATGTAAAGGACAACGGATGTATTAAAATGATTTTTGAGTTTTGATATGACTGCGACGATATACTGAATGTTTCTTAAGATTGTAGGGTAGTTTCGCATGGTGAATATAAGACAAAAAACACAAAAACAAAGTCTAATAAATATTCAAGGCTCTCCTTGTATTGCATATTGCAGACGTCTCAGAGATTCTCCAGAGAGATCTACCTCTATGATTTGAAAGCAGTGGCACTGTGCTTGTGGGGAGTTGGACGTATCCTAAGTTTCATCAGCTTCTTCTTGTCATCTTGTCCTAAAACAACCCCACTCCGACTCCTGGCACATCTGAAGCCTTTTGGAGCGAGATACACGTCTTCTAAAACATGAATCCTCAAATCCCACTTATAGTTTAGCACTTTATTCTTCTGTTATGTCTGCTGGCAATCTCTCTGCTCGATTGCTCCTCGTCTGAGGTTTGAGTGATGTATGTTGTGCTTTGGCTCATGGTGAGCACAATGTCCTGGGACTAACTCACTGTGTATTTGTGTTTAAAATCTGAGCAGTGCGAGTTTGAAGAGGTAATTTGGCCAAAAATGCAAATGTGCCTAACAGTGAATAGAAGTTGGCAGGGCATGAAAACCACCAGCTAGCTAGCTGTTGGCGTTGATGCCCTGCTGCTCACTTCCATTTTTGTTTGCCATTGTATTTGGCAGTACTGTCCCTTAAGGATCCTAACTGCTTATCACATTGGCGACCAAAGCATATGAAGCTGCTGGCATTGTCAGGAGTGAATGAACGGACTGTACACTCCAATTTGCTGAGAAATTGTGGATGCTGTTTTCTTTTTTTCCTGATGACTGCCTTTTTAAAGGAATGCTCCATTTTTCAGCATAAGCTCCATCTGCTGCATCTGTAGCATAAAGTCGATTACCGCAAGAATATTTCCCTGATTTAAAACAAACTTCAAATAGAAGTAAATGGGCACGTGGTGAAGCATGAAATAATAAAAAAAAAATGTGTTTTGAGTCACATTTTTTCTGTTCTTTTACTAAGTACAGGCAAACATGTCAGTGATAATGTCTGTGGTAATTGACTGTATTCTATAGATTTGGCAGATAGAGATTAGACTGAAAAACGTTGGTGTATTCCTCTAAGCTTCATTGAGCCACTGTTGATAAATCATGTATAAATGTAGGGGTTCTGCAAACTAGACTTTATAGTGATTAGCCTGCAGGCCAATCTCTGCGTCTTCAGGTGAATATGGAGATGAACATTCTCATATGAAGGATATGCACGTTTTCCCTCTTTTCAGTTTGTTATTTGGACCCACCTAATCCCTGGACTTCAACAGTCAGGGAAGCTTTCACAGCCAAAGATTGAGTCTATTCTGGAACTAAGATGGATTTTCGATTGAGAATCACAATCAACAATGGGGATTTAGTTATTTTAGTCTGTGACGACGGCAATGGCTCTCTATTTTAACCCAGCTTTAACCCAATGCCAGGTTTAATCCACTGAAAACGTGGCAGGTTTAGAGGGCAGTCCAACCAATTTTTAAACATTTATGTGTAGTTTATTTGTTAAGATGTAAAGTCTTTCAAAGTGGATTGATGTGAAATGGTGCATTTGTAGAGGAGTACTATGGATTTCTTTACAGTGGTGGTGATGGGAACCAAGAGTCCCAGTGTCTCCAACACACACATTGCCATTTTATTTCTATTCAGATAACCTGTGAATCTACACATGTCTTCTGAGTTTTATATGTAATGCTCATAAAGGTAAAATAGTGGAAAATCTGAAATGTTATGTTCTCTTCAGGGAACATTTTGCCTTACGACACCCTGCTTGTACCTCTGCACCATGAATAGATTTTAAAAAATTGTTTCAGATAAAAACCTTATATTAGTACTGTCATAAAACAATGTTTCAGCCATCAGGCTGCTTATTCATAACCATTTTGTCTAATAACAGCCTGTGCTCGAGCTTTTAGAGGCATTAAACTCCATGTACGTCTGGTTCCTATCACCTCCATTGTGAACGATTCTGACTCAGTAAGTTTCTCCTTAACACATTTCACATCAAACCACTCTGAATGACTCTGGGTCAGATCTTAACAATTTAATTGTGCAGAAAATCTGAAAAAACGGTTGGGTTTCCCTTTATACATACAGAGTGATTGTGCTTTGGGAGAGCATTGTTTATGCACTGCAATACTCTAACAGTGTAAATAGTGCAAATTGGAGTTTTTGTTTCATTTCATAGTCATATATTTATCAGAGTTTTGGGATATGGGTAACTGACATCTGTTAACAGTTCTTTGTTCAACATTATGGACATTTCTTTTTTTTTTTGTTAGCCATGAATAAAAATGCCTTTTTAACAATGCAGCATGTTTACAACTCTCAAGTTTGTTTTGTCTGGATTTCATTTCGAGTGTTGAACTTCCATAATACTGTGTGTAAACAGCACTGTTAATCTCCAGCTATTTGTCATGCACTAGAGGGCACTGTGAAAGCACGGCGAGACGATAAACTCTGTGTTGCTTGAGATGAGAAACTCAAGTAGGTTATACGGCTGGGATTGGAATCCTGGACCCTTCAAGCTTGTATTACGTTGTAGTTTGGGAGTGCTCGGGCTTCGCTGAGCAAATTTGGCCTCTGTGCTTAGTGCTCCTGTTTCCTGGGGATGTACTGTGTGAAACCTCTCTGGAGTGCTGGTCTAGGATTTGTTTAGGCCAGTACATCATAATGGATACAGTGACATGGATACAGGGCACCTGATTCTGTATCAGCACTTAAAGTTAATATAGGCTTTGGAGTGAAGCCTAAAGCTTTCTTTGTGTAACCTCCTGTGATCTACACGTCATATTCATGAAAATCAGATCTGCAATCCTTGTTACTCAAATGCACCTTGCATGTTGCCCCACAGCGCAGGCATTATGGGAAACTTTTTTTCTCCCCTTTGGAACTGGTCACCATGTGTCATCCTCCATCTGTCTCAGAAGACACTCAGTCCTGAAGTTATATAAGCTTCTGGCTTTGGCTTTCACAAAACACGTTCTTATAGTAATGGGTGCGAGACTGGATAAGCTTTACATGGTGGCAAAAATGCTGTTCAACATAATGAGATTGAGATGAGGTTTTAGTCATAATATGTTATAATACACTATAAATAATTTAGCTTGTGTTATTAATGTCAAATGATATTTATTTTGAAAGGCTACACACATAGACCATATAGACCAAATCTGACTTATTTTTCATATTGGAAATATTGTAGACAAGCTGTTATCCCTTGAGCAGATATTATGGAGGTTGATGGATGGTTTTTGCTTATGCAAAATTGTATTCTTTCCTACAATGAATATCAGACGGTCCGTATACCTCTGTGAGCAAAGTGTCTGAGACTGAGACATGGTCCCATCTCACCACAAAGCTTTTTACCACATCTTAGTCGTGTCACTATCATCCCTTCCAGCAAATTGTTCTTGAGTAATAGCTTCTTTTTTGAGCCACTGAACTCTGTAGCTCCTTTAAAGTGATTTCTGGTCTATCTGTGGCTTCCCTCACAAGTCTTATTCCACTTCCTGACTGGATCCAGCAGTGCTCGATGGAATATCCAAACACTTATTACATATTATTTGTACTCTTTTCTTAATGTATGCATTTGTATTACTTTATCTCTAACTTCTATAGCATGTTCTTAGTCTTCATTTCCTTGCACTTCAGTTTCACAGCCAGACTAAAGATTCTTAAACAAGGACGATTGAAAAATAAGAGTCGCTTTGCTTGGACGAGCAGTTCTAGGAAAAACCTTGGTAACCCTTTACTGTAGGGTGCTGTTCATAAGGCTTCATGACACCTACATAAGCTCGTCTTGACAACTGACATAACTCTACAAAAATGTTTAATAAATGCTTATTCCAATAGGCAGCATCTGTCTTAAAGGCTACTTTGGCTAACTTTGATCAAAACTGGCAAATATAACCTTTATAACGAATGGTGCTTATAGAGAATAAGCATTTGCAAACATTTATGTAGGGTTATGTCAGTTGTCATGACAAGCTTATGTAGGTGTCATATAGCCTTATAAACAGCACCCTACAGGAAGGTGTTAGCAAAACCTTCAATAAATATAGAAACTTTAGCTGTGGAGGTTCTTTACATTTTAAAAGGTTTATTCAAACATCTCATTAACAAAATTGATCTTTAAACAGCCATTCATTGAAAGGCTCTTTAGGAAACTGATAATGGTTCTTCTATGGAATCACTAAAGAGCTCTTTTTGGCACCTGTTTTTTTTAATTAAAGGCAAACTGTGATCATGTTTGAGAGAGTTTTTAATCTGAGTGAGCTTGAATCTTCCAGAGCACAAGGGGTTGAATACTTATGAAAGCTGAATATGTTGTTTTTTATTTTATTTGCAAGATCTGCAGACAAATTACTTTTTTATTATTATTATTATTATTATTATTATTATTATTATTTGTTTTAGTTCAAATTCCAGTTGAGCCATAACAAAAAACAATATATGCAACAGTTTTTGTAAAAATCATAAGAATGGCCTGACATTGTTTGAAGTCCTGTATTTAAAATAAAGGGGTCACTAACACATAAATAAAGTACAGTTTTGCTTTTTAATATAAAAAGGTATTCAAAATAAAAACAAAACAACTGAAAATCCTGAAAAAGGTGAAATAATAAATGGGTTTTTGTTGGAGGGACTCTGTAAGTTTCATTTGTAATACAGAAAATGTTGGTTACCTTCGAGGGGGCTGCACTTTTGCAAGGCACCGTATATAATAGGATTGAGTTATTTTAGTCTGTGACGGGGTAGCAACTGCACGTCTCAATGACAAGTGTGTGGTATGTATATATGCCACTGTCATTGTTAATCCTGGCATTTTCGCATGCTAAATAGAATCTGAAGTTAAAAGATTAGGTGTGGGGCCGTTTACGTGGTGTATATGTACTCCGCTAAACCTTATCTCTGTGGCTCAATTTGTCACACTGCTGATTTGTTACTTAACACATCACTGAGGCTAGTTATCACACCATTGCATTTGCTATCAGATGGCTAGCTCTCGTTCACAGAGAGGAGGCTGATTCCTCGCTATGCTTTTTCGAGTAAAGCCCTTCTCAAGCTTTTTTTCCGGATTAGTAACATCAGGTACAGCCTGTGATCAAGTGATCAAATTTTATTTGAAGCTCGGCCAAAGGTTTTCAACATTGCTTTTAATTACAGTTTAATTAAAATTCCATGCATATGACTGCAAAACTTTCATCACCGTCACTGCTTTTAAGTGTTGGATCAATGAAAGTCTAGATCACGGACAGATTTGTTTTATGTAAGATTTTTTAGAGGATGGATGTACCTATTAGAAAAACATCTGAACATGCCTGTCCTGGGGGTTCGGGTCGGTGGATTTGGGCGTTTTGTTGCAGGTTTGGGTAAACGATGACCAGCTTGACATTCACTCTTAAAAAAAGATGGTTCTTCAAGGGTTCTTTAATAAAGGAATGGTTCTATATAGAACCATGAACAGTTAAATAACCCTCCGCATGATTAAAGGGTTCTTTGCATCATAAAAGAATCGTTCTTCAGATTAACGGAGAATGTGCTATAGATGGTTCTATACTGGTCCTTTCTGAAAATGGTTCTATCTAGAACCATTTTGGGTGCTAAATAGAATCCTTTTCTACATAGAACCTACACAGAACCACCTGTCATGCACATTTTCCATCAATCTGAAGGACCTTTTCATGATGCAAAAAGCCCTTTAATCTTGCAGAGGGTTCTTTGAGTATTCATGGTTCTATAGAGAACCATTTTCTTTACTGAAGAGCCCTTGAAGAACCACCTTTTTTAAAAGTGTTCTAGAAAATACAAAATCTTTGCCACACATTTATTCTTGGCATGAATTTATTATGCTACCTATTCTGTTGCACGAACACAGAGTCACTCATAGGCTAACTTCTAATTCCAGGTGAAATAATATCACCTAGCTCCATTGGCTAATGCTGTGGAGCTAGTCCTTCTTCTTCAAGGACGTTTGGCTTTGTGGCTTTTTTTTTCAAGCAAATCACATCCCAAAAAGTGTGTTTAAAAAGTGAGGTGGAAATTCAAGTCCATCCTGTTGTTTGTTTGTTTTTTGTTTGTTTTTATTGAGATTTGTTTACAATTAGAAACGACTGACTAGTATGAGCTGACAGCAGTCTGGAGGGGGAAAAGAGGGAGGTGGGATGCATGATATACAGATATAGATACATGCGTACTAAAGCCTTCTTTGGCACAGTGATTCTGGTGCACTGAGGCTGTGTACACAAAATCCCCAATAGTAGGTTATACGGCTGGGATTGGAATCCTGGACCTTTAAAGATTGTATTACGTTGTAGTTTGGGAGTGCTCAGGCTTCGCTGAGCAAATTTGGCCTCTGTGCTTAGTGCTCCTGTTTCCTGGGGATGTACTATGTGAAACCTCTCTGGAGTGCTGGTCTAGTATTTGTTTAGGCCAGTACATCATAATGGATACAGTGACATGGATACAGGGCACCTGATTCTGTATCAGCACTTAAAGTTGCGTAATCTCCTGTGATCTACACGTCATATTCATGAAAGTCAGATCTGTGAGAAATCTCTGTCATTCAAATGCACCTTGCATGTTGCCCCACAGCGCAGGCATTATGGGAAACTTTTTTTTTTTCCTTTGGAACCGGTCACTATGCGTCATCCTCCATCTGTCTCAGAAGACACTCAAAGATGCGTGATGCACAGATATAGATACATGTGTACTAAAGCTACGAATGCATACTGAAGTGATGCTGTTACAATGATGTTGTCTATACAAAATCTCCAACAGCAGATGCCATTTCAGTCCCATCTTGTGTCGCCTTTGACTGGGCCTTATTCAGGCTTGCAGTCATATCGAATATTAACGAATTTCCAGTAGTCTGTAATAGATTTACATTCCCAGAACATACTGTATGTAAAAATGTGCCCTATATATTCCCAGGGGTGAAGCACGAAAATTTGGGCCCCAAGCACATTGCCCAAGCCCCTCCTCCCCTCTCCAAAGAAAATGAAGGAAAGGAAAAAAGTAGTTCATTCATTATGTTGTATTTTTTGAATTGCTCATTTTAATAAGGATTGGAATTAAACTTGGCCTATGTTCAAAACAATCAATTTAATCAGAGGAAGGAAAAAGTAAATATAACTACTGTCATTTTTACTGAAACTGGTCAACAAATGGTTTATTGGTTGGAACACCTTTTAGTTACCTACTGAAGTTTCATGTCTTCAGCTGCATCAGAAAAGAAAGAGGTGCTACTATTTCTCCCTCAGTGACTGCCTCTGGAAACTAACAGTGTGCATTTCACAAGTTAGCTGCTGG